ATTAGTGAACGTTATAACAAAACATTTTTTAACATTGAGGTGCATACCGTTAAGCCGGCACCATTCATATATTGATTAGTAGTAGTAGTAGTAGATTTCCCTGAATTCCTGACATAGCTAATTTCTTACAGAGTAAAGAATGATTTACTTTGTCAAAAGCTTTCGTAAAATCGGTGTACACGGCATCAACCTGCCCACCCACGGCGAAAACTTCACATAAGTAATTTTTGTACTCTAATAAGTTAGTCACTGTTGATCTGCCTCTCACAAAACCGTGCTGCTTGTTGGATATAAGCGGCTTAACTTGAGAAAAATATAGCGGGAATTTCATCATACCCTGGACCTTTGCGAATATCTAATTTCTTTAATTTGTCCAATATTGTGGCCTGATTTAGTTCTATATTACACATACTGTAATTACAAAAAGTATCACAACTTACAGTGTCATTAGTAACTAAATCCTGGTTGATGACAGGTTGAGAAACATCGAAAGCTGAACTAAAGTACCGAGAAAAAAGTTCCCATATTCCTTGTGTGTCAAAAAAAGTTTCTGTACCAAGAGTCATAGTCTGTGGCATACCCGAGCTACCTATTTTATTGATAACAAAATTCCAAAATACCTTTATGTTGTCCGATAAACCCTCCTCCGTGGAGGTAATAAATGATGCATACGCCGATTCCGTGAGTTTTTTACATCTCGTGCGTAGCAATACATAAGTATCGTAATCCCTAGGATTATGATATTTCTTAAAAAGACGATGATATTTATTTTTTTTTCTTTAAGACACTTTATTAATGCTGAAGTATACCATGGTGGATATTTGTTATTGGTTTTACTTACAAGCGGCGTGTGTTTTGCAATTAACTTATTTACGATAGTGTAGAAATTATCGACGGCATAGTTTATATCCGGTTCATTCGATAAGCTAGACCATTCAATAGTTGCTAGATCCTTTTTTAAATCATAATAATTACATTTGCGGTAGTTATATCGTATTCGTTGCGCATGTTTAATTGTTTTTAATTTCAAATTTTTCATTATTACAATTCTAAGTGGGGGATGATGAGAATCTAATCGAGTAATAGGCTCAGTAGTTGTTACGAGCACTTTCTCTGTTGTTGATAAAACGAGATCAAGGAGACCGTTATTCTCATTATAGACTGAATTAAGTTGAAGAAAAATTAAATTTTACATAATACTTAATTTTATCTACAATAATAAAAACTATTATTATAAAAAAAAACTAAAACTAGAAACTTAATTATCATATAGTCCTACTCCCCGCGGTATCGTGCCAAGAACGCTGGCAGCGTTTCCCCGCTGAATGGCTATACTTAGCCTTTGAGCGAGGAAAGAACCAGCCCTCTTATCCCCAGCAGCAACGACCAGCCGCGGATGGAGTTCCTTTAGGAACTTCACCGCACGTGGACCCCACCGACCGATAGTCTCTACAGCAAATGGCACAAATATGTAGTCATCTCTCAGAGACTTATATTTGCGCCACTTACTCGCTCAGCTGCCTCTGATGCCGCCCCGGCTTTAAACTGAGATGAGAGGCTGCCAGAGTGTCTACGCAAGTAGCATCCCACACTAGGGCTTTACCTCTCTCCCAAGGGACCAATGTCATACCGTCGGGTCTCTTGCCATCGTCTCTAAATATTCCACAAGGCTCTAAAACCGAGGGAATATTTATAGAGGCAAGAGCCCTTCGGATGACATCGTTCAAAGAACTGTTTCGTGAAAACCTACCAGCGCTTTTCTTACATGAAAGTCCGTGGAGCCCAAACTTGTCGACGCTGCTACCACAGGGGCACTGATGGGGTTGACAAATCGCCGCTCCTAGTCGGATTCCTACGGCAATACGCAAGCTTTCCCTATCAAGTAATGTGCCGAGATTACTTGATGGTAAAGCGTGTAACCAGTGACTAGATTCCTTAGTTGAAACAGCTAGAAGGCGTGCCTTATCTTGGTCACTATGGAAATTATGAAACAAATCCTTCTGCACGCCCTGTACCAACGGAATATCCCACTGTTTTTGTTGGTTAACTTCCAGTGGAATATTTTCACCAGGACAGAGCGTTTGCCATGTCTGCCCTGCCTCTGTAGCAAAGCATAGGTCTACTTTATTATTTAAAATTATGTAACATAAGTCACTGACACTATGCACGGAAGCAAGGAAAGCAGGCAATGCAATGCTAGAAAGATTTCTCACACCAATGCCACCAAATTTTATAGGTAAAGTAGCTTGAGCCCAGGCTGTTGTATTTAAAGTTAAATTTAGAATTATTTCTATAGCAATTTTAAGATTATTATCAATATCTTGTAAAATATCCGAACATTTCCAGACTGGACTCGAGCGGAGTAAGTATGTAAATCTAGGTACAAGAAGGCAATATTTTAAAATATTAAGAGCTATGTGGGGGTTTAATTTATACAATTTATCAACGTGGTTTAAAAACTGATCAAATTTTGTTTTTAAAACAGGTTTAATACTATCGAAAAACAACGGGGCACCTAGCAGGTATAGTGATTCCGTATTGACAGTTTTTATTCCTGGACAAATATGATTAAAATTTTGAATTAAATTGTCTCTGTGAGAAGTAGATAAATTATTGGAAAAAAATATTTCACATTTATTGCTATTTGGTTCAAGGCCAATATTTTTAAAATTTCGAAAAATATGAGTAAGATCGCTGAGGACGTCATCTGCTCTATCTCCCAGTGTACCGTCGTCTAGGTACCAGACATTCAGCTTGGATTTCAAATTTGAAATAAAGGGTTGAATTCCCAAACTGAAAAGTGCTGGACCCAGAGGGTCACCCTGCTGAACACCAACAGCAGAATCGATAACATGGTTTTCGTAAAACAAGTTAGTATTTTGACTATAACATTGCCAAACGTAATGATAAATTTCGGGGGTATTGTTAGCCACTTCTTTCAGCAAGGTTACCCATAGATTTTCGATAGGTTATCGATAGAGTTAAAAGCATTCCTTAGGTCAACCTTCACAAGAACATCTGCATCAGAGTTTGTTAAAAATGTACGCACTGAATGTACCGCCGCCTCACAGCCACCTCTAGTGCCAAAACCTAGTTGAGTAGGCTGAAATTTGGTCTTAAGGTTAGAGATTATGTACCTGCAAGCTAATTTTGAAGTTAAGCGTCGAAATGTGGAACCAACGGCAATAGGACGGATACCGTTATCCTTTTTTTTTGAAGGCACCTAATCTTGCCCCATATAAGAATGGAATGAAATTTGGATTAACATTACCAGAAAGCATAAAGTTACATAATTTTGTAATGTCTTTAAGAAGTACTCTGCCGGCGTCACCGGCAGAAGCGCTTACAAGATCTTTAAGATGTTGAGGCGTAATTCCGTCAATGCCGCCAGCAGAGCCATTCGAAAATGACATAATTGCTTCTAAAGTGTCTTTTTCAGAAATTTGTAAAGGTTGCTTAGAAGTCTTGGGAGGCAGCGGTAAACCCTGAAAAGGTTTGACCGAAGGATGCTTCTGACGAAGGCTTTCAAGAGTTTCAACATTACGAGGAGCCAGGATGTCGTCTGAGAATAAAATACGGGATGCATTTTTTAAGTCGCCATCGATTACTTTCGACTCAAATACTTTTTTTTAATCAAATTTAGGCCGTGGTCGAGATAAATGAGTATTAAATTGGGTAATCTAAATTTTGAAAAGATATCTCTTTTAGTTGAGACGTAATTGTTTTATTTATTGTTTTATCAAAATGAAAATGGGAATACGCGAAAGTAAATAATTTTTGCCAACTATTTTCACTGTTAGTGAAACAATTTTGAATAGTGCATGACAATGCTTTAGCAAGCTGCATCCTCGCACCTCTAGGAATTCTTTTAACCACTGGTACATTACGATAATAATTGTAAATTTGCTCCGAAAAAAGGGAAACATTTGTGTCAATAGAGGAATTGCTAAAAAAGTTATGAATTTCTACGGCAGGCTGTGAAGCCGAAATACTTTTACTATGACATCGTTTAATATGAATATTTAATCCCCTTTTACCTTTAAACAGCCTACCGTCAGCACAATTTTGACACTGTAGGAAATCCGGCTGTGAATGTAGAGGAGCAGAGATATTCATTAAAAAATCTAAACAGATCTCTACAACACTCAAAAGCCTTTATATTGCATATTCATATTAACTTGAAATGTGCTGTACCCCGCATCTCTCCCTGAAACAATCATTTACGGCCTAAATAAAAGCACTTTACTCTATAAATGAAATATTATTACATTACTTCCCTGGATTTATTCCATATTTATAAACATTGTATGTATAGTCGTTACGCTTTGACAGTTGTCAACGGCGCAGCAGAAATATTTTTCTTTATTAATTAGTATTATGTCTGAAATCAAAAAAAGTAAGTTACAAAGATTCATAATATCAACAAGACAATTAGATTTAAGGTTGGATGAAATACCCGGAGTCATAACGTTACTATGAGTACTAGGCGACCAACTCAGATATGGGGTGTTAAAACCGCCAACAAGTAAGAATACGTCTTTATCCTCACCACGAGATATGTTTTTATGAACATTGTCGTAAAAGGCTTGCAAATGGTCACGAGAAATATCGGGAGGGATAACATAAACATAAGTGGAGCTTTTGATAGGAAACATTGCTCGGAAGGATAGTCACCCAAAGATCTTCTACTTCACATTTTCAACTTGCTTGTCCAATTACATGAAATTTTTCCTTAACAGCAATTAATACACCACCGCCTTCATGCTTAGAAATACAACTAGTATGACGGTCCCTTCTGAATACAGTAAATTGAGAATCAAACTTTTCAGAATCAAAGACATTGTCATTTAAATTGGTTTCGGTGAAACATATAACATCAAAGTCACAACTTAAAGTATTTAAATAAATATAAGTGACATTAATAAATTATTTATAAGGTATGAAATAAAAGTTTAAAAGGTTTACTAAAATAACAAGCAAAAAAAAACAAAAAGAAAACATTATTTTAGAGTGTCCAAAGTGATTGCATTTTTAACATGTATGGCAGTTGAATTATCGTCTTTCCTCATATATACACGGCCATATTTAATCCAGACATGTTTATATGACAAGTTTTTGGCAGATAATCTTGCTGCGGCATGAAGCTGTTTTGTTTCCGGTGAAAGGTGTTCTGAAAGATAAACGAGTCACTCCTCTCCATGAACGCCCAAATGAACAGAGTTCAATTGGGTAGATTTATTATTCTTGTTGTAGCGTTTGTAAGCAGATATCTCGTTATCTCGGTCACGCTCCGATGGTAAAGTGACAAGTATTCCGCGAGGCCTTTTTGATTTTTTATCAATTTTGCAACTCGCTTTACAGCTTTAATGATGGTTTCACTAATTGATATTTTTATTTCTTTTAACAGATTACACATAGCTGAGACCAAATTTTCGTTTTTCTTTTCCGGCACACACTGTATTTCAAAATTACAGCCCCTAGAATTTTTTTCTAATATGGAGATACGACTGTTTAATTTGTAAATCTGCGATTCTAATGCGGTTTTTTCGGTTTCCATTTTGGCAATGTTTTTTGTAGCGGTATCTAATTTTATTTGCATATCACATTGAAGTGCGGCTAAGTGGTCAGTCGTCTTGGTGAACTCTGCCTTAAGCTTACAAATAGCGGAGTTGATATCCTCCTTAATTGCAGACCTCATATCTGACAATTTTAAGTCCAGGAGTGCGCTGAACTGATCATATTGTTACGAACTTGGGGTTCGAGACAATTAAAAACTGCCGATTGAATTACCAAAATTGACACTTTAATTACACAACACTAATTACAATCTAAAATCACACTAATAATAAAACACAGTTCGCCGTTATTTCGCTTCGAAGTATTCTCTTGTATCGCTAATTCAATACTGCCCCGGTCGTGGTCTATACCGGCCTTATATAGGGCCTCAGATTGTTTCCAGAACCTTCTACTGTAGCGACATCTAGAATGTTCGAGTACATATCGCTCCCGAAATTTCTGGAAGGATCTCGACTCTCCTAGTTCTGCTACTCGACACTAGAGGGCGCTAGTGTAACTAGTGTTGCCATGTACAAGACATTAATAGTGGCGCGCTACACTTTCTTTTACTCGACACTAGAGGGCGCTAGTGTAACTAGGGTTGCCATGTACAAGACCTTAATATTGGCGCGCAACACTGCCCCCTCCTAAGACATGCTCGTCCCGAGCATTATTGAACCCATAATAACGCGCCAGTCGATCCACATGGACAATCTTAGGAGTACCTCTGGCACCTTTCTGTATCCGGTAGGTTACATCATTCATCCTTGTCACAATCCGGTACGGTCCGTCCCATTTAGCTTTAAGCTTAGGAGATTTCCCTTTGCTGCGAACTGGATTGTGTAACCACACTAGTGAACCTTCATCAAACCCCTTGTTGTTCATTTTGCGGTCATACCGTGTTTTCATCTTCTCAGACGTTTGCTGGCCCGTCTGTCTGTCGTGCTCATAAATGTCATTCATTTTGTTCCGCAAGTCATTTGCATAATCGGTTATACTGCGTGGGGCATCAGGTGGTATTCCGGTGATCAGGTCTGCAGGCAGCCGTAATTCTCTCCCAAAGTTTGCGAAAGCTGGCGTCACTGATGTACTTTCGTGAACAGCGCTTCGATATGACAACAAAAACGGTTGTATGTGCCTGTCCCAGTCTCGTTGCCGTTTTTCCACAACTTTTGCCAGGTACCTTTCCAATGTCTGATTAAATCGTTCTACCATTCCATCAGATTGTGGGTGGTAAGAAGTTGTTCGTGTTTTATGAATACCCATAACTCTGCAAGTTTCCTGGAATATTTGAGACTCGAAATTCCTTCCTTGATCGCTGTGAATCTCTAAGGGTACTCCAAAACGACAGAAGACTTCATGAACTAGTTTATCTGCAACGATTGAAGCTTCTTGATTTGGAATGGCGATGAGTTCTGGCCACTTAGTGAAGTAATCTATCACAACCATGAAATACTTGTTACCACTTTCAGTTTCTGGAAACGGCCCCGCAACGTCAATGGCTATCCTCTCCCATGGTGCACCAACATTGTACAATTTCAATGCGCCTCTACTACGAATTTGAGGTCCCTTTACAGCCGCACAACTTGTACATTTGCGGCACCAGTCCTCGACATCGTTACGACAGTGGACCCAGTAAAACCGTTCACGGAACTTCAGGAGAGTTCGTTTAACTCCCAGGTGGCCTCCTGAACAACCATTATGGTACAGCTGTAGAATATCCGGCACTTTAGCCTTAGGGACAACCATTTGCAAATGACACCTGTCTCCCCGACCATTTTCCCATTTACGGCACAGGACTCCATCCTGAATTAGCAAGCTGTCCCATTGGGCCCAATAGCTTTTCGTGGTCGAACTCATTGCTGAGACGTCGCTCCACTTGGGCTTAGGAGCACTGGCCTTCATCCATTCCAGAATCGGCTTAATGTCCGAATCTTCCTGCTGTGCATGTTGTAGGCCGTCCTTCCACTCATTGCTGAGCTGGTCTGTCCTGAGCATTCTCACAGATACCACTTCCTTACCATCTTGCCTAGTACAATGCTTGCAATCTTCAGGGCAAGGTCTTCTTGACAATGCATCTGCATTGCCATGAGATTTCCCGCTGCGATGTTCGATCACAAAGTCGTATTCCTGCAGTAGTTCAATCCATCTCGCAACTTGTCCTTCCGGATTTTTGAACTGCAATAGCCATTTCAGTGCAGCATGGTCAGTTCGTAAGTGGAATTTCCGCCCTAGAAGATATTTGCTAAAATGCTGCAAGGACTTTACCACAGCAAGCAATTCCCGTCTTGTGACACAATAGTTCCTTTCCGGCTTTGACAACGACTTGCTGAAGTACGCTATCACAATCTCTTGATCACCATTACGTTGAGACAACACACCGCCAAGTTCTATATCACTTGCGTCCGTGTCAACTATGAATTACGTGCCCGCATCAGGGTACCCCAAAATAGGCGTTTTGCATAGACGGTTCTTGAGCTCCTGGAATGCAATATCGCAACTTTCATCCCAGCAGAAATGTCGCTTCTCCTCGGTTAGCTTGTGTAGAGGTTTGGCTATATCTGCAAAGTTCTTCACAAATCGCCGATTATAATAGCACAAACCCTAAAATGCTCTAACCTGCGTCTTGTCTTTTGGAACCGGCCACTCCTTGACAGCGGAAATTTTCTCTGGATCCGTGTCGACACTACATACCCCAAAAAACTAACTTGCCGTTTGAATAGTGAGCACTTCTTCGGACTCAACTTGAGGTTGGCACTCTGGATCTTTGTGAGCACACGTTCCAGGTTTTGAAGGTGTTCCTCAAACGTACGGCCTACGATGATGATGTCATCCAAATAGACCAGACAGGCATCTCCAATTAGCCCGGTCAGTACAAGCTCCATCAACCTTTCAAATGTTGCTCGAGCATTGCACAATCCAAACGGCATGACTTTAAATTGCCACAGACCCTTTCCTGTGGAGAATGCAGTTTTCTCCTTGTCCTTAGGGTCAATTTCAACCTGCCAGTAGCCACTTTTCAGATCCAGCGTACTAAACCACTTTACGCCTGTAAGCATGTCCAGCGTGTCATCAATTCTTGGCAAGGGATAGCTGTCCTTCTTTGTAACGTCGTTCAGGCGGCGGTAGTCAACACAAAACCGCATGCTGCCGCCCTTCTTCTTTACCAGCACCACAGGTGAACACCATGGACTAGATGAAGGTTCAATAACACCATCCTTCACCGTTCCCTCAATCATGGTTTCCACTTCCTTTTCACGTGCTACAGGCAATCTTCTTGGCCGCTGACGAATAGGCAATTCTTGTCCTGTGTTTATTTTGTGTTGAACTAAGCCAGTCTTTCCTATGTCAGCTTCGTTTGACGAGAAAACATTGGCGTACTTGAGTAACAACTTCTTCGCCTTGACCATTTCATTCGGGGAAAGAACGCTGCGACAGTCTTCTAAAAGCGTGGTCACTCTCGTTTGTCCATCCTTGCTGGTGGTCCCGGTCGATAGATATTCGCACCGACGCAACCAATCCACTTCCTCACTAGTACCAACCAATGTGCCTTTTTCTATAATCTGTTCCTGATCACAAAGGTTCAGCACACGTACTCCTGAGATGTCGGCGGTTGTGACCAAGTTTCGAGCCACTTTCCATGGAAAGTCATTGTCTACCGTTTCCACGAGTACACAACGAAGAGTTTGCCCAGGATTCCGTGGAAGTCTAACCGGCACAATCGTTTCCGATCTCGGTGGAAGAACAATCTTCTTAAGGCTGTACACATTCCCTGGTAACGCCCCTTCCACGAAAAGTTCCTCTTGTCCACATTTCAAAACACATTGCTTAACGTCGATCTCACAACAATTCTTCCTCATAAAGTCTAGGCCCAGGATGCAGTCGTCCATTATATCAGCCACGATGACATTATGCAGGTAGATCATGTTGCCTAGCTTCAACTCCATCTCCTTCTCTCCTCGGACGGGTATGCGCTGACCGGTGGCTGTCACCAAATTAATGCGTTCGCGGTTGTATGCGGAATCCCCAAGAAACTGATTTATAAGTTGGGAACTGACAACCGTGCGAGAGGCTCCAGTGTCTATGGTTAGTTTACACGGCTTTCCGTTGACCTCGCCCTTGATGATCAGGCTGTTTCCATCTCGGGTTTGTGAGATCGAAATCCTTGGGGCTCTTTTAACATCAGCCAGCACCCGCCAGTTTCCCTGCTGCTGCTGGGCGGTGCTGTCAGCCACACTACCCTCTCGATATCGAACACCTTCCCTTTCTACAGTTCGTTTAGGGCAGCTGGATCGAAGATTGCCCCTTTCCCCACAGCCGTAGCACCTAGGGCTGTAGCCCTTATTGCGGTCCTGAACTATAGCTGCTGCAACCTCCATGACACGGTGGGAACGATGATCCTGCCGCACGGCTTCCACCTCCAGTGCATGGGCCAACGCGTCCTTAAGCGTCTCGTGGTGCCCGAGCCTCACAGCAGCTCTGACTTCAAGGTCGCGGATGCCGTCGATGAATGTCTGCACCAGGTTCCCTATAATGAGCGCAGGTACAGACTGGTACGCTTTCCGAACCAGCTTCTCCACCTCAAGGGCCCACTGCTGCAGGTTTTCGTTACTGCGTTGCACGCGATCTTTGAGCTGCGCACGAAAGACGTGTTCCAGGTGAGCATCGCCATATCTCGCCTCCAATGCCTCAAGGAGCTGCTCGTAAGTCACTTCCTTACCGAGAGCTTCCAGAACAGTTAAGGCCTGTTCGCGTAGGCCTAGGGTGAGAGCAGTCATGGCCTGACTTTTATTCTAGCCGTACGCTTTCATGACAGACTCGAACTAGATTTTGTAAGCCGACCAGGAAGAACTCCCGTCGAACGGCGGCACTTTGAATCCACGTAGCGAAGGTGTTGTAGCTACCACGGGAACTGTAATTCCATCCCCAAGTTTGAGGTCGTCCAGCGTTTTCTTCACATCAGCCATCACGTTGTCAACCCGATTGTTCACTTGGTCGATTCGAGTTTCAGCTTCCGACAGGCGGTTGTCATGTTGAGCAACCCTATCCTTCACCTCCTTTATCTCTTTCCCGAAAGTAGCGTGAAGGTCCTTCCTGAGGAGCATCTGTTCTTCCATACCGCGCTTCAGCTGCTCTTCCAACCGACGGGTCTGTTCCTCCTGTCGGCGAGCCTGATCCTGCAGCATCATCATCAGAGCACCTAAGCCAGGTGCTGCAGATGCAGGAGCTGCTGACGGGCCGGCCTCCGTGGTTAGCAGCTGCCCCTCCGACGTTTGCGGCGTTGCATTACCAAATCGTCTCTGGTCCGTCTCCTGTTGGCGTTGACTTCGGGTACGGATACCCTCCGTGTCGTCTTTAGGTAAAATCGGCATATTTGATCCCACTTCTGACACTAATTGTTACGAGCTTGGGGTTCGAGATAATTAAAAACTGCCGATTGAATTACCAAAATTGACACTTTAATTACACAACACTAATTACAATCTAAAATCACACTAATAATAAAACACAGTTCGCCGTTATTTCGCTTCGAAGTATTCTCTTGTATCGCCAATTCAATACTGCCCCGGTCGTGGTCTATACCGGCCTTATATAGGGCCTCAGATTGTTTCCAGAACCTTCTACTGTAGCGACATCTAGAATGTTCGAGTACATATCGCTCCCGAAACTTCTGGAAGGATCTCGACTCTCCTAGTTCTGCTACTCGACACTAGAGGGCGCTAGTGTAACTAGTGTTGCCATGTACAAGACATTAATAGTGGCGCGCAACAATATGTTATAGTCGCTGATGGTAGTACGGAAGCACTTTTCTCGGTAAAATCAACCGTTTGCGGTGTTATGTTATCGGAAGACATATCCGAGATGTCGGTAGGCGGTATTGAGAGCTGCTTGCGAACAGGCGTATTATCATCTTTACGACGCGTTACTAGTTTACATGACTGGCACTTCCATTGTCGTTTTAGTTCGTGTAAATTGTCTTTATAGAAAGACGTCGATAAATTATAGCACTTGTAATGGTAACATCCCTTGCATGCAATACATTTAAGCTGTTCGTCACTACGAGTGATTTTATTGCATGCTAAACAATACATTTTAATAATATTGAAAGTGATAGTAAAAGTAGTGAAAATTTCTATGTTGCACTCTTATTGGGAAATTACGAGGATAAAATTGATGTTCTATTCCCTACTGCACCTTCATAACGATTACAGTCCACTTCAACTGACGTCAAGACCGGGACCACTCCATAGGGACCCGTAATCTTAGTCGTCTAACCTTTCTTTTAAGAAAGGGCGACAGACTGATTTTGAGTTGCACACCTTCTCATGCATCATGCCCACCTCGTTGTACCCGAACCCAACGTGGTGTGATATTGGTTTCATGGGATAGAAGGTCACTCACCAGTTGACCCCCGTCTGTTGGACCCTATTAGTAGTCATAGTAGTAAATTTATACGCTTTAGATTTTTTATGTATTACGCTTAAACTGTATAAGAAAACCGAATCAAATAAACCGTAATTGTGTGAAGTCGCTGTAAAGAGTATATTTACCGGAAAAATCTAGATGAAAAGCAATTTATTGCTGTCTACAACTGACAAAATGCTACTGATTAATGGAGTTTCGTGCTAACGTACCGTTGTGTTTGGATTTCATTCAGTTTTCTTAAGATTCTAGTACATTATCCATAGTTTAGAAGCAAAAGTTGACTAGTGTGGCATATTATGTTGTGTTATATAGGATTAATGCTATTTTTTTAAATGTTATGTAACACCTACTAAAACAAATAAATTAACAAACAGTAAAGTATTCAACCAGGATTTCATCAAATTCAACAAAAAAAATATTAACTACATTTAAATTTAACGCACGTGTGATAACTACATCATCAGCCTGCGGTAGTCCAAGTCAAGACACAACAATTGGCCTGTTCTTCGGGATTCACATCATCTACTATACTGTTTACGTGTTAGAGTCATGCTGCAGCGATATAAGTACCATAGTTGTAACAAAAATGGGACGGCTCTAGCGGAGAAGGACTCTCACATAATTTTTACTGGAAACGGAGCATCCAATCTTAGTCCTCACGGGTAACAACCCATCTGCATTTTGAAATGTAATCGAAGATAGATGTAGATGCCTATAGGTCACAGCAACCACTTACCATCTGGTGGACTGTGTGCTCGTTTGTCAACCATATTCTATAAAAAAAACTTTTTTTACTACCGTCGAAAGGCATAAAATCTCGCTAATCGCAATTAAGAAAAACCTGATAACGGGCATCAAAATTGTAAAAGCTATAATTTAAAAGCCGTTCAATATCAACAAATTGACGACAATTTCGTTACACTTTATTACTCTAGAGGTCTTAATAGCGC